GAACAGCAGCACTGGCCAATTTTACAGCAGTTGACAGAAAATCATAGTGGCTCAAGTGTAGGTTTGTAGGGCCCTCTCCCCCAAAATCAACAGAACTGAACCTGTCCCACCATGTAAGAGGGAGGCTCCAGATGAGTTGTTCTGTACATGTCTAAAAGCCAGGAATAAAGTTTTAAGATGGGCAAGGATAGAGCTAGAGGCCTCTTAAGCACAGCAATGCATTAGCTGAAATTGATGTGGGATGGCAGGATGTAGGCTATAAAAACTACTGTAGTCCATAAGCTACATGACCCATGGCCTGTCTTGGCTGATACTTGGTAGCCATGAGGAAACTCCACAATACCCACTTCTTCTGTGGTTGTACAGGGGAGGGCTCAAGCAGACTGCATACAAGTTTCATGATTTTTAAACAATTTTGAACCACCTATGTCATCCTGGTCTGTATGAGAATTAATCGGGGTGGGAGGGGATGGCACAGCATCACAATTTGCTGCTTGAACAATATTCTTCCACATTTACTGAGCAAACTTGAACAGGTGCCTGGTGGTTCAAAAACAATTCTCAGCAAAATACAAATACTGTACCATATTGTTTCAAATCCAAAACAAGATCCCCCCACCTAACATGGGGGGAGCCCCTTGTCTTAGACTTGAATACAAGCCAGGAGTTGGAGTCAGAGCTGCAGTCACTGTCCCCCCTAACCTTGTCCCTGCCACCTCACCTCCCCATATCTATGGTCCCTGGCCTAGGCTAGAAGGTAAGTGGCAAGGGGGCAGTGACTGTGGCAACAGCTCTGGCCCCAGGTCCAGGGCTGAAGCTGCTACTGCTGCATGGTTGGGGCCAGAGCAGCACATACTCTGTCCTTGTTCTCTGCCCCCAACTGAAGCAACAACAGGAAGGTAAGTGGAGGGGAGCTAGCAGCAGGAAGGGGGATACCAGAAGGGGGAGAAGTGGTAGAGGCCAAGGAGGAGGGGTGCAAGTGCTGAGAGATAGGTGCCAGGGGTTGTAGGCATAGGGAGGAGCAAGCATAAGGGATACAAGTGGCAGGGGAGAACAGGCACCCTGGGGGGCAGGTGTGAGGCAGTGTGGGGGGAACAGGTGGCAAGCAGAAGGGGTCAGTTCATATAAAACTCCCCAACCGTCTAGCCCCCTGCCGCTGCTTACCCATTGCAGTGGTGGGGGAGACTAAGGCAACCCTCTAATAATTAGATTTGAAATATGGAATCTTATAACAAATGTGTAAACCTTTCCATGTCTAGAATCTAATTTTTAGGCTGGGGGTGTCTTAAATTCAAAGTAGTCTTGGACTCGGGTAAATATGGTATTTCTTGGCTGAGGACAAGAGAAATCTTACACCCAAAGCTATTTCTAATCCCAGCAAGTGAAAGCCACTTGAAAATGGATGTATGAGTGTACTTTCATGGCTCTAATTCTAGTTTGCTCCCAGAAACTACCACCATACATTACAGCTGGCCAGAGAATAACTCTTATATGTGACTTTTAAGGCTTTGGAATTTGTTTCTATTCCACAGCAAAAACACAAGATAAAACATTTTTCAGCATTTTTGTGAAGAAGAATTACTGGAACATCCATTTTTAGATTGAGGTAAAAGATTTTTATTCATGTCTGTCCCCCATTTTGAGGTAACCTCAAACCACCTTGTTAAAAAAATAAAAATCAATAAATCTTTACAAAAGTGGTTCAACTGAACCAAAACAGCATATTTTGAGAAAAGTTTAACTGAAAAATGTTCTAGCCAACTCAATGATGCAGGTCCACTCCCACTGAATCATTATTCTAGAACATGACATTGAAATGCCATGCAAGTCTAATCTAACACTAAGCAAAATTATTTGGTACCTGTATTCTTGATTTCTTTTACTCGGTCAGAGAATGGTTTTACATTGCTGTTTAAGCTGCACTGTAAGCCATAAGTTCTGTCACCAATTCAATTCCTGGTATTATTTAAAAGAAAGAAAAAAGCAAGCTTCATTCTATTATGAGAAAGTTCATATGGAGACTGGCTACAGTAATTGGAATGATGGCTTCAGGAGGTTATCCTCGTTCAATAGGTTTGAAAGTGAAATGCCTTCAGGCTTCCATCAGTTTGCTTTGACAAAAGTACCCCCTCTATTTTCAATCCAAAGTCATGCTGTTCAATTTGACATTTGCCCTGTATATTTTCACCAACCTTATGATAGCTGCTATCTGTTCAGCTGAGAAACACAGGAACTATATAAAGCACAGACACATCATGTGATGATTTCTACCCTTCAGGCATGAGAATTCTTAATGAGCTCAGACTTGCAGCTTCTGCTACAACTTAATTCTGGTCCTCCTTGGAAGGATTTCCTTTCACTCCCCACTTCAAAACAAGTTAATTTTAATTCTAAATTAATTTTTCAAAATCCCTATAAATGAGTTCCTACTCCTGTGTGCTCTTGACAACAGTTCTATACAAATGAACAGTTTGCTGGGCTCCAACATGCATCTACATCTGTGCAGTCAGGTTTTATTTGTGAAAACTTTTAGAAAAGGGGCTCTAGTTTCAAGCAATTTATAACCATTCTATGCTTCCCAACAAGCTACAGTTTGCACTTCCACCTACACACCGTCAAGTATTACACACCTTCAAGTATTAAGGAAAGTGCGCACAGAATCTCTTTGTCAGTCCTACATCTGCAATGTTAAGGACATACCAGTACACTAGGGCCAGGGATGTTAGATACTGTAAATGATCATCATGGGAGCCTCACTGTCCAATCACTATTTTGGAACTGGAAGAAATATAAATGCTATCTCCCATTGCAAAGTCTCCTAAGGCCTTGATCAAGTCAAGTCAACAAGCTGTGACAAAGATTAAATGCCAGTAGGTACCAAATATTTTTCTACCCCTCAAGGATTTGTCTTTAGCAGAACAAAATATATAGATGTAAGTGTGAGCTGCCTAGGAAGTCAATACCCAGGGGAAACTGCCTAAACAGGTAATTCTCTCTGACCAACAAAAGGGAACTAGGAGCTCTATTACCGTCTTGTTATATGTACGCAACTCTATTATAAAGTCAAGGGGAGTTTTGTTCAAAATTGGATTGTAACTCATTAAGTACTGTGCGACATATGACACTTTCAGTACAGTGCATTGCAGCACCCATGAAAGATTTGGGCGTACTTGTTTGATAGAAAGCCTGCAATGGCTGGACATTACTACTCAGTTCTTAACAAGCTCCCCCTCCTCTCTCATATGTTAAAGCCATTGCCATTCAGCTACTTTAAGCTGAATTAAAATATTAACTGGAATAAACCCAGAGCAACTCTGATTGTTTGCTTCATTCTTTTAATCCTCCAAGCTTTTACAGTAAATTGATCTCCCAAGGTATTTAATTCAGCAAATAGTATGTCATACCGCACTTCTAAGATATGTGTAAGCAAGGATAGAAACCTCCAGTCCTTACCTGGCCGTCTGCCTTCTGAAATGAACAAATCTTTTCAATTAAAATTGCTGCCAGGAATCAAGTAGTGACTAGTTGTGCTTCTGCTTATATCTAGTGAACAGAACAACCAATCAATTAATCAATCAATATACCGTTGGTATTTTACTACTGCTCTACACCTCGTAATATCTAAACAGTCTAAGAAATTTGACAGTGCTGTTTCCTCCTCACCTATAGGAGAATAGATTATAAATATGACTGGAATTCATGCTTATCCAATACATGGCTGGAAGTTGCAACTGCAGTCTCATGAAACCAATGCCCCACTGCTTGAAAGTGCTTTTAATTTGGCTAATTTACCTGAAGCAAAAGATCTACATAATTTTTTCAAAGCACTGTAAAATCTTCCCAGAGTAAAAGCACCCATCCTTTGGCAAGTAGCCTAGTGCCTCTATTTTATTTTTATGGAAAATCAAGATTTGCAGAACTTCTGGGGGAAGGAGGGAGGGAAGACTCATTTTTCATCCTAACAAGAAAGAATGTAGCTCTCCTTCAAACAAGTATAACCAAATGGATTAATTCTTATAATACTTCAAACCCACAAAGCCAGGAGGGCTTGTGGCTCCCTCAGCTGTCAGAAGTCATTCTATTAAAGCTACAGGAACCTCCTGTGCAGAATATAGAGCAGCCTATAAATCTACAAGGCTGAATTCTAAGATGCCTGCATACATTCACGCAGTGCTGCACATCAGATGCTAACCCCCCTGGCAGCAGGGGTAGGATTTCTCATGCTGCACATTAAATAAAACCCTTGTTCAGTAAGGCACAATCATAGTAAAATGGATACAGTGCCTGTTAAACAAGAGCTTAGATCAGAATTCAGAATGTGAATATTCACCAATCAACCCTTGTATAATCAATTTCTTAAACTATACAGGGAGTCAAATTTATCCCTAGGCAATTTCACTGAGGTCAAGAGTTACATCAAGGATGAGATTTTGTCCAAGGCCTTTTATTAGTTAATTACAAGTATGAGACTTTGGGGACTTGCTTGGCAAGCTACCAACATATCCTGGCAATTATTTTGTTAGACTATGGCAAGAGTAAACCAGCTGCACTGAATTCATGAAACTGTTATTCAGTACAGTTTACAGAAAAAAATTAGAGTGGTCACAAGAAAATCTACATATATATTTTCACTGCATTTTAAACACGCTATTCCAGAGATAAGAAACATCACCAACTCATAAATATGTCAATAAGATAAAATAACCAACCCCATATCACCATAAGTGTCACCAGGCATATACCTATAGGTTCCAAAAATTAAAATATTTCTCAAACTCAAACACATACAGTTCCTGTACATTACTCGAGTCAGTGTATGGCATTTTTATGCATGTGACTTACCTGTTTTAAAACCTTGACTAATTCTGTAAGAAAAAATATACTAGATTATGGTCATAACAGTCTCTTTCTGTTCCTAAAAATCTGCAACTCACGCTGACAAATATTTGATGGCTTATTTCTACAAAATACAAAAAATCAGTTAACTGACTTTAAATAGCTTTTAAATACATTTTATTGTCACATGATTCTTAATAAAACACCTTCAAAACATTCTGTACATTTCAAACTATTTAGAACTGCAATTCCCATTATATAAATGTAATTGTGTAGAGATGCCATGATGTCTCTGTACAAAGATGTACAATATGTACAGTAACATTAACTGCAAGCTGTGCAAAGCTAAATCTAGGTTACTAATTCATGCCACCAGTTAGAAAAAAGGTCAATGCATAGAAATAAAGCTTCAATCTGTTTCTTGTGTGCAAGTGACTAGTTTATAAACATATGTTGTATATCATAAAGGAGTAATTTGAACTGAATTCTCAGGTCAGCTAGAGCAACATGCAGCTGAATGAATAGCTATGGTACTGTTCTTGAATATTTTTTCCACATTGCACCACTTCACTAGGCAGAAAGTCATCTCAGGATTCAGCCGCTACTTTTAGTTGAATTGAAGCAACACCAGAGGATTTGAATTTTGGAAGATACAGGCCAAACTTGTTTTCTATGCCAGCAAATGTAGCTGTAGCAAGTCTGTATCCACCTATGTGGTCAGGATTAGCGGGAGGAAGGTCTGAGATTCGAGATTTTGGTGTAGGTTCTGATCCAGAAGGCTTGCTGTTTGTGAAGAAAAATAGAAACATTGCAGATTGACAAAGGTTTTTCACACAGACACTAAGCAACACAGCAAAATTGATAATAGCTTCTTTTAAACAGCTGTGATCAAGTAGATCAAGCCTAAATTTCATTTCTGGATACTTTAAAAGGGTTTACAAAATCTAGTAGCAACAGAAATATCTTCTGATATTTAAAAAAATCTTATATTTAAATAAAAATAAGGAAAATATTTTGAACGAGATTTAAAAAACAACTTAGTTAGCAACCCAAATGCAGCAGCTATATTTAATGCATTAAAAACATTGAACCAACTTATATTTCATGTTGCTGGGATAGCGTAATAATATACAAATAAAATCAGTTAAATCTTTTTAAGCTCTTTCAGTATGAATGCCCAAGATGTTATTAGTAAAATACATGCATGCATGTTTTCTTTTCTTCCTTTTTTTGCATAGGGTACTATTAAAGCAAAATTCTGGCACTACAGCTAATCAAAACCACTAAGTTTAAAATCCATTGGTTCCCACAAAGTCTTTCCATGTAGTTCTCTAGAGATTAAGAAATTGAACTTGGCAGGCCCTGCTTGCATATTTAAAGCAAACATTTGCACTTACAGTCCTCCAAAATCGACATAGAACCATCGCTGCAGAAGTTCATAAGTGACTAAAGTAACACCAAACTGAGGTGAAGATCTGAATACACGAGCTGTTCGATATTGAAGATAGTAATATTAGTGCAGGGGAAAAATGTGAACATTTAAAATCAACTTGTATATAACTAAAATTATAGTTCCCCCCCTGAAAACTTTATTGTTATGAATAATCCCTAGTCAAGTGAGAAAGATCCAGTACATAAAGTCAGTTCCCTACCTCCAGCTCCCTTCCAAAAAGCCGAAGGGCCTTCTTCTCTAAGTATCTTCCCAAAACAGTCAAGAACTCCACTGTATGTTGTCTGACCAGCTCGTGCTGCCACTTGCAGTCTTGTCTTGATGACATCAGCAGGGGTTACCAAGGAAGCAGCAGGAACACCTTTTAGAAGAAAACAGCATTTAATTTGCACAAAATATCTTGTAAAATATAAAACATTTATAGTGTTGAAGAATATAAAACTGCAAACTGTAATATTTTGAGAAATCAAGCCCTAAAAAAATACATAAACTAACACATGTTCTAGTATTAATATAAAGTATTCAAAGCAGAGCACAATTCTGCTGTGTTTCTTCTAAATCTCAATTAAATTTGAAGACAGGTGCTAAAGAAAACTGTACAAATGAAGTCAAGATTACTATAAAACTTAGACAAAGATAATAACAGAACAATTTTCTCTATTGCCCCCATTTAAGTTTCACTATCAATTATGTCAAATCATTTTATTTAAAAACGTTTTTCTACATATAGTTTAAGTTGCATACACTCATAAAAATAAAGTTTCCTGACATGAATTAGTTGTGCTCTCAAATATTACTGTGCTTTTTAATATTAATAGCTCTATCGAACTATCTGACACACAAAGTACTTTGTAATTAGATAGCTGATTAACTAGTCTGCACAGCTCCCAGGTACAACATTCTAAATCCTTCATCGATTCATTTTTAAATGTGTTAATATGCACAGTGATCATTTAAGAGTCCATTTTTTCTACAGTTCCAAATGGCTTTTGGCCATCTTCCTAATAAAACAGAAGACACTTAAAAAAAAAAAAAGACTGACAATGAAAATGTTTCAAAAGTCTGTTTGTGACAGACACTATGGGAACAGCTGGCAGTAATGGGAGAAACTGGTAGAGCAGCAATGTCCTTAATTTCTTATTCAGATGAAAAAGGGAAGGCACAGGTAATGCCCACTTCTTGGCAGAGAACTGTGTTTGCTCTTGGAGGCAATTTGTGAATATTTATGATTTTTTTCATTTAAATTGTAATCACTTACCAAAATTAAAACATCCCTTTGCCTGGAATTCGAACATTTGCTTTCAGCCTCAGTTGAATTTTTAACTACAAAGTATGTTATCTCCATAGATTTCCTTACCAGCCAAGAAAGACATCCTTAATCCTTTTTTGGGACTGACCTTTGAAGTAAGAGTTTCTTCAAATTGTTCAGAAGCCCTAAACTAGACAAGTCATTTTCTTCCTAGCCCTTCTTTCAGTGTACATTCATCAAAGATTCAAATTAGTCTTCAAGTCAGAGAGCTTGGTAACAAGTAAAACCCCATTGAGATAGATCAAATGTGACTACAAGTTGCTGAGCTGCATTACGCTGTTTATCCACATTTATGCAAATGTAATTAGCTCTTATCAAAATTACACAACCTCCCACCAAGGATAACAGTGATCAAATTTAGATTAAGTCAGATACAATAGTATATTACCTTTCACATATATGGGACAGAAGAATGAATATTTATTATTGCCTGTTAGAAGAAAAATGTTACTTCTAGAAAACATACACAGTAAAGTTACCTGCAATGGCACCAGCTGCCAGGAGACTCAACCCACCCACATGGCCATTTTCATCAGCCAGCATAAGTTTACTATGAGCATAAACAGGAAAGTAGATTCCAGAAAAGGGAATGTCTCTGAGGAAACACGCTTTGGCACCCTGGCACAGAAACAAAACAGTACAAACAAGTTATGCAAATATGGTTACAACTGAAATCTGGCAAACAGTGAAACCTGCCTGAGCCAAGTCACTCTAGGTGACCTACCTAGTACATAGCAGGTGCAACGATGTCTCAGAATAAAGGATGTAGATTTAAACATCCAAACAGAAACCCTCAATCATTCAACCATCTCTGCTAAAGCAGCAACAGCGTTCACATCTAATTTTACTAAGCAGCCTTCGGTTAAGGCCTGCCATCAATTGCTGGATAGATACTTTTTTCCACCTCTCACATACATAAATTTAACTTGTAAAAACCTCATAAACCCTTCGTGCTCAGCCTGCCAACAAAGTAGCATCCTGCCAGATCAGGGAAGGGAGGTAGGGCCTTTGTTTGCCATTTGCTATATGACTCCATAAGATCCTGGCCACATTACATAAGTCCTGCCTGGAGGGCTTCATACCACTCTCTGCTGACTTACCCTGGCTGACGTAGGGAATGTGGATGACTCTCTAGCCCAGGAATGGAAATCATTCTTGGATAAAACTTGTTTTTTTACAGGTCTACAAGCAACCTAAAATATTTTTCTGTAGAGTTTAACACACTGTAATAGCTCTCAGTTTGCTACTACAATGTCATGTCAGCAACCGTCATTTTAAGTCCTTGATTATTCATCTTATGCAGGGTGACATAATTCCTTCTGTACAACACATAAGTAATTGAATTGTGTGGGAAAGTCTCTTCCCCCAGTTCTGAGGACGTGTCCTGGCTACTATAGAAACAGTCTCTTCTGCCTACCATTCCAGTCCACATTGGCAACAGCATTTCCCAAGCTCTGTGGTTTTTGCTCCATTGTAGCAGCATTGGCCACTCTCATGTCCCTCCAACTTCAGCTGCCACCATTCATCTGGAGCCAGTCAATAACTGTGATTCCCACACACCTTTTCTCCTCCCCCACAAGGAAGTGTAACCCATACTGCTGTACACGGACATGGCCACTGTGCTTCTGTGTTTCCAACATGAGGAAGAATATGCAAAAGCAGATCCAGTAGGATCTTCTCTGGCTCATTTCTTAGCATCCCCTCCCCAGTGATACACGGGAGGAAACAGTCTTCTGCATGGGATCTATGGGATCCCACTGGTGCAGATGGCTTTTTGGAGACACTGTTGCTTGTATGAACTTGACTTTTCACAGTTTCTGACTAGTTCAATCCAGTTATTTACTTCACTAAGATTTGGATTGCTTTTTTAATTGCAGTGAATTCCAAATAACCTCATTAGGGTTACTGTGCATTTTAAAAAATGGCAAATTCTTAGTAAGCTTAACTTTTTAATTACCAAGCACAAAATGGTAATTGCTCTAAAATGTCCTATGTATCAAAACGTCTATGACCTTTAAAACCTCATAGCTGTGTGAATCTAATCCACTGAATTCAGAATAAAAGCTGCAGCTCTGGAGGTAAATTTACACTTTTTTTTAAAGTATTATCATAGCTCCATAAAACTAAAACAAAGTGTTGCAAGTGCACAGCTGCAGACAGGTGCTGAATTTACACATTACCCCTTGCACTGGCTAAAGGGACAGAAAGAAATACTCTTCCTTGTTTAAGAAAACTAATAGCTTCTGCTCCATTACATCTGATCTGTAATGACGGTAGTAAATATACCTGCAGGGAAGGAATCTGTTGACTGGCATTCTACTAAAGTACAGTACAGTATGGGCTTTTTTAATGGAATTCATTATTGACAAATCCCACCACTTAACTTCTTAAAGATCCGAATCCTACTAAACTCTACTACTGTTTCACTGTTGTCAAATTATTAAGACAAAGAGAGTACCCTGCTGCAGAGATAACAATGGAGATAACTGAGATTCAGAATAAATGTAAGACAAATACAAAAGGAAAGCTAAAGAAACTTTTCACAAAACCCCACCAAATGAAATGATCCGTGCCAAAAGCCAGCAGGTCTCCAATACAGGACTCCCTGCAGCTTAGTATAAAAGCCCAAAGGATGGAATGGGGGAGTATTTTTATGTATCCCACTGCCACTAATATAAATGTGTTTTTTTTCAGTTTTCTACTGTGGGGCTGCTCTGCAGGAAGAGATTGTTTTTAAATTTGAAAAGGTTTCTTTGTTTCTCAACAAAGGTTTTGTTTCAACAGTTTTTAAGTTTAGCATAAAATGGATTAAAAGCAGTTACTGAGAGTGCTCAGAGTAGGAATACATACCTTATAAAGACCAAAAATCCCCAAGTCCTTTAGAACAGTAAGGGCACTGACTCTGGGCCCTGTAGTGATCTCTCCCGCTACCTGCAACCGAATCTTCACAATCTCCAGTGGATTAGTGAAGATGACTTGTGATGCCCCTGCCTGAAAGACCAGAGAAAAGAATTTCAAGTAAATTCTCCCACTCAAATATGCCATTAAAGGTCCACTCCTGCAAGGTGCTGAGTACCTTCCACTTCACTGAATAAAGCTCTATGACATCTTTAAGAATAAGCAAAAACAGTAACACCCTTTCATAGTTTCATAGTTTCTAGGGTCAGAAGGGACCTGAGTAGATCATCTAGTCCGACCCCCTGCCATGGCAGGAAAGAGTACTGGGGTCAAACGACCCCAGCAAGGTGTTCATCCAGCCTCCTCTTAAAAACCCCCAGGG